CTATAAAACATGCCCAGTAAAAAAAATTTAAAAAATCAAAATTTGTCATAAATTTAGACCAAAATGTATTCTGCTACATGTCTTTGCTAACAAAAAATCCCAATACATGTAAAATAATTGGTTTATGTGAAAGTTATAGCATCTACAAATGGCGGTATTATACTGGGATATATACTGGGATTTTTTCCCTACAAATAGATCTTTCTTTTGGTGGTATTTGATCACCTGTACTTTTTTTTTTTATATTTTTATTTTATAAACAAACATACCACCAATTAAAAAAAAAACCAATATTTTTGACTTTTTGCTATAAAACATATCCAATACAAAAATCTCAATACGTGTAAACTAATTAGTTTATGTGAAAGTCATAGCATCTACAAATGGCGGTATATATACTGGAATTTTAATTTCTTTTTTTTTCATACTAGTAACGGCGGCGATCAGTGACTTATAGCGGGACTGCGGGTCTGCAGAGGGCATTCTGACACTGGGGGAGAATTGACTAACTGCCACTGATCTCTCCACTGACACTAATACAGTGATCAGTGCTAATAAAAAGCACTGACACTGTACTAATGACACTGGGCAGAAGGGGGGATAACATCTGGGGTGAACAAAGGGTTAACTGTGTGATGTGTGCTGTTTTACTATTTTGTCTGTGTGTGCTTTACCATGCAGAGTAATACAAAGCAGTGTGCTGGTGCTGACAGGGGAGAGATCTGTGTTGTTTACATACAGACCTCTCCTCTTTCAGTGTTCCCCCGTGATCACCAGGTGTCGGCGGGGAATCTCCGGCTGGGATCCAGTGATCGAAAGCTGTAGCTGCCAATGGCCGTGCCGGCAGGGTGGCGCATGCCCCCTACCCAAAAAAACAAAATCACGTGTGTGTGTATATATATATATATATTTATATGTGATTTTGTGCAGCTCTGCCACCCTGTAGCAGTACTTCTGCTATAGGGAGATCGGGAAGCGGTTAAGAAAGTAAATACATGTTGATATAAAAAAAAGGCCTATTTAAAGCACAGTCAACTTTTTTTGAGAAGTGGAATATAGCAAGGCTGGACAGAGAGGAACATAAAGGGGTTCATATATAAAAAGTTAGCTGAATGAATGTGACAAACATCCACACAGCTAACACTCTTTCTAATAAGAGTGTTCCACATGTGTGTCAGAATTCTCTGTTCCACCAGAAGATAGTGATCTTAGTGAATTCCACAACACCTCCTGCACTGAAGACACTCCATAGACAAGCATTGCAAAATGATCTCCTTAAAGACAACTGCTGCACTTTTGCATTAATGATTATTTAGTTTAACCCTGTCCACAATGCAGAAGGATAACACAGCAGCAAAAAAGGAAGAATTTCTGCAGCAGTTATCAGCTACAGTCCAGGTGTAATATGATTATCTCCTTTGATCATAAGTGCCATCTAGTGGCCATAATCCTTTTTTTTCCTGATTGAGTTATTTAACCACTAGCCTACAGGGCACTTATACCCCCTTCCTGCCCAGGCCAATTTCCAGCTTTCAGTGCTGTCACACTTTAAATGACAATTGCGCGGTCATGCAACACTGTACCCATATGGAATTTTTATCATTTTTTTTGTGACAGAGCTTTATTTTGGTGGTATTTAATCACCTCTGGGTTTTTTATTTTTTCTTAAACAAACCAAAAACCACAGAAAATTGAGGCTGCAGTGATGGGCACTGATAGGTGGCACTGATGAGGAGGCACTGGTAGGTGCCACTGACGGGCATTGACAGGCATCACTGATGGGCACTGAAAGGCAGCACTGATATATGGCACTGATAGGTGGCACTGTTAGGTGGCACTGACTGGCACTGTTAGGTGGCACTGACTGCAACTGTTAGGTGGCACTGACTGGCACTGTTAGTCAGCACTGATACGCAGCACTGATGCACACTGATAGGCATCACTGACTGGCACTGATAGGTGTCACTGACTGGCCTAATATGTGGCACTGAATGGCAGCACTGATAGGTGACACTGATTGGCATTGATAGGTGGCACTGACTGGCACTGATGGGTGACACTGAAAGGCAGCTCAGATGGGCAATGATATGTGGCATTGATGTGCACTGGTAGGCACTGATATGTGGCATTGATGTGGCAATGATGGGCACTGACAGGTGGCACTGCTGGGGCTACACACATCATCAGGGCACACTGTTCATCAGTGCTCTGATGAATGCCTCAGTGTGACAGCTCGTGAGGAGAGAAATGCCGATAACCGACATTTCCATTTTTACATGCGATCAGCTGTGATTGGACACAGCTGATCACATGACCGAGCCGACATCTTCGGCTCTTTCCATGGATCGGTGATCCACTGTGTCCGAGGGACACAGCGCACCGCCAATCGCTATGCTGCGTACTCCCGGAGCCGCGCATACACGGTAGAATGGGAGGATGTCATATGACGTCCTCCCAGAACAAGAGAACCACCTTGCGCCCGTCATTGGACTATATGGCGGACGGGAGGCGGTTAAAGCTGGAATCCAGGATAAGCAACTACTGTCTGAATAAAAGAATCATGTGTATTCTTTCATGATTCTTGGTGTGCTTTGTGTATTCCTTCTACGGTATATCTGTGCAGTAATCCAGTGTGAAACTTTGCCTCTCTGCAAAGGCTATACAGCACAGTGATGATGTTGCTGCTACATTTACAGGGTAACAAACAACCTGGTTTGTAAAGGCATTTGGTTCATACAAAGTTGATTTATTTTGTTTGTGGTGATTGAGGAATATACGAGGGACATTTGAGTCAAACCAGGACTTTTAAGTTTACAGGTATAAAAAGGGATGCTAGCGTGGTGGTACTACATGCAGTAGCAAGTGGCAAGTGTGTCCTATTACTGATAGGTGGCGGACCAGTCCAGAGACCATTAATCAAGATGGTAGACATTAGTGTTAGTGCATGCATGGAACAGTGTGTGTTGAAGTTTCTTGTGAACCAAGGTGTAAAACCCGCGGCTATCTAAAGAAGATGTCAAGCACAGTACGGTGATGGGACGCTCAGCCGCTAAAGAAAGACATTGGCTCTGCAGGTAAAGTGATGGCAAGTGTTTTCTGGGACAAACGTGGCATTATTCATGTGGATTTTCTCCCCCGTGGTGCCACTATCAACAGTGAGTATTACTGTCGTGTTCTAAGTGATGTGCACACGTCTGGAAAAATGGCCTGGTTTGATCACCAAGGGCGTCCTGTTTCTCCAGGACAATGCACAAGCTCACACTGCTCACCGCACTACTTGCACATTACAGCAACTCAGCTGGGAGTATTGCCACATCCCCCTTATAGCCCGGACCTCGCTCCGAATGATTTCTACCTGTTTGGACCCTTAAAAGCGTTCCTCGGAGGTCAGCACTGATGATGAAGTGAAGCAGGCTGTCCTAGGATGGTTCAGGCGTACTGACAAATCTTTCTATGCCAAAGCTTTCCAGGCATTAGTTAAACAATGGGTTAAGTGTATGAATGTAGCAGGGGAGGATGTCAAAAAATAAATGCAGTTTCCACTCCTTGAAATCTGTTTTTTGTTATATAAACTCAAAAGTCCTGGTTTGACTTGAATGTCCCTTGTATATGAATAAAATTTTTCTGCCCAGAGTTTAAAAAAAAAAAAAGACAGCTTTATTGCCATTGGAAGGCGCTTACGACCAAAGGAAAGCATTATATTGCACAGAATACAACCCATTTTGTTGGAGCTGTGATTGTGTCTGTCACATTCGTTCAGCAAAGTGTGTTTCCACTTTTTTCCTATTCACATAGTATAACTTAAAAAAAGTTTACATTTTATTTGATTAAAGTGGTATTAAAAACTAAACCAAAAATGTAAAATATTGCAGAAATCATTAGATGTGGTGGCTGCATTAGTTTTCCTTTTTTAGGCTTTTTCCCCCTCTGTTTTCATCTGGTGATCTGGCCAGTAACGCACATTATACTCCTGTATTAGAGTGCCCCCACTCTGGACAAAGGAGTAACAGAGACACCTTTGGACATTGTCAGTCTGGGGGGAGGGGAGTGTTTGATGCAATAGCAGATTTAGATACATTAACAAATTGAAGCCAAACTGCAGCTAACACTTTATAGGCAGTTACAGCAAATAGTTTTGTTTCCTTTTGGGATAAAGGCTTTCCATAAATAAGTAAAAGCAATCATCGTAAGCAAGACGCATTGAAAGCACATTGTAACTCCTCATGCACACTGGACGTTTTTACAGCGGCTGTTTTTGGATTTTGATGTTTTTTTCTACAGCCAGTAAACCCCCCCAGCATGTTATCCTATGTGTCCATGCACACACAGACTGGAATCAATGTTTTTTGGCTGGAAAAAAAACCTAGGACTAGTGGATTTCTAGAGGAGATTTTTAGCTGTAAAAATGCTCTAATGCTGAAAATGAGGTAAAATGCGGTAAAACGCTGGCGTTTCTGGACTTTTTTTGACCAAAGAAATATTCTTTTGGCGGTAAAAAAACAGCAAATGCGGAAAAATGTGGGATACTGTCGCTAATTGTGGCAAAATTCCGCTAAACACTTATGCAAAAATGCTAAAAAAAAGCTGAAAAACTCATGTTTTTAACGTGACTTTACACAGCTAACGTTACCAGCGTTATCAAAACATCCCGTGTGCATGAGGACTAAGTGTTAAATGGATTATCTCAACCTTCTAACTGCAACCTCTACAGGATATCTTGTTTTTTGTTGAAAAATAACAAACCTACTGGCCAGATCACCGGGTTAAAATAAAGGAATAAAAACAAAACAAATAATTTATTTGTGCTAGCAAAAACAGAAAATAAAGACTGCTGCATCCACTACACAATCCAGATACTAGATGTAAAACAACTACTTCAGCATGGACACATAGGATAACATGCTGGGGGGTTTACTGGCTGTAGAAAAAAAAACACCAGAAGCCAAAAACAGCCGCTGTAAAAACATCCAGTGTGCATGAGGACTTAAGCTTTAGCCCTCATGCACATTGGACATTTTTACAGCGGCTGTTTTTGGCTTTTGACGTTTTTTTTTACAGCCAGTAAACCCCCCAGCATGTTATCCTATGTGTCCATGCACACAGATCAGGGGCAGACTGACCATTTGGAAACTCAGGCACTGCCCGAGGGCCCAGGGTCAGTAGGGGGCCCCATGAGATGCCCCTGGTACCTTTTTCATAGGCTTTTTTGAGTATGGGCAAGGACACAGGGGCCCCATGATCCCCTATTGCCCGGGGGCCCCATGAGTTGTCAGTCCGCCCCTGACACAGACTGTAATCAACGTTTTTTGGCTGGAAAAAAAAACCCAGGACTAGTGGGTTTCTAGAGGAGCTTTTTAGCTGTAAAAATGATCTAACGCTGAAAAATGCAGCAAAAAGCGGTAAAACGCCACAAACCAGCATTTTTGGACGTTTTTTGACCAAAGAAATTTTTTTTGTAAAAAAAAAACGCTAAAAACCACAAACAGGGAAAACCGCAGGAAAACACTGCTAATCGTGGCAAAACGCAGCTAAACGCTAATGAAGAAATGCTGAAAAACGCACGTTTTTAATGTGACTTTACACAGTGTTATCAAAACGTCCAGTGTGCATGTGGGCTAAACAATAAAACCTGGAAGCTGATTGGTTTCCATGCAGAGCTGCACCAGATTTGGCACTCTCCACTTTTAGTAAATCGACCCCAATTTGTTTTTTATCTACAGATACCCCCAGGGGCGGACTGACCATTTGGAAACTCGGCACTGCCTGAGGGCCCGGGGTCAGTAGGGGGCCCCATGAGATGCCCCTGGTACCTTTTTCATAGGCTTTTTTGAGTTTGGGCAAGGACACAGGGGCCACATGATCCCCTATTGCCCGGGGGCCCCATGAGTTGTCAGTCCGCCCCTGGATACCCCTTACCTGCAGAGGCAGTTTTTCGGTAAAAGCAAACAAACCCTCTAAATAAAAGCTTACAAAGGTTTTCATGTTGTAGCTGGCAGTGAGATAATAAGGGGATGTACAGTGACTATTTTATATTCTCGAGGTTCAGTAAATGTTTTATCATGTCTGGATTTGTCTTTATATTCCAGAGAATGGTGCACACATTAGCTCATTTGCGCTGGAACTGATTATATTAGCAGTTCATTTTCATGTATGCCTAGCTGTAATAATGCCTCTCTTAGCATTACATTATATAGGATTGTCTGGGAATATTGTGTTTGTTGTTGTGTGTCACTAAGCAGAGGGGTGACAGCGCACTTTGTATGTGTCACCATTGCAGGTAACAATAATAAATTGCTTTTCAAGAACAGTGGAGGTGAGAATAGTCACAGGGGTCCACATCATTAGATGTCAGCTGAATCGTTCACAGATGTCTTCCATTCTTCATGGATTCCGTTGATCAGATCTCCCTGCTAGAGTTCCCTCTTTGCCCTGTTGCTGAGTCTTACACACACAGCATTTGCCATTCAATTTTGACCTATTTCTGCTGGTTTTCCATTGGAAAAACAACTGAGTGGATCAAATAAACACACCACAGACACATTGGAACATTTCACAGCATTCATAGGAACTCAGTGAACTCAGTTAAATAATTTTTCTTTTCAAAAAACTGGTTGAAAATGCTTGAAATTACCTAAATATAGATATAAAGTGGAACTACACTGCATCTGAGCACCACAAACCAAAAATACTTTTTAATTTATTTGTAATATTTAAAGCAAACTCACTCATCCATACATGTCTCCATGCTTTATTTGGTTGAGAAATCGCTATAAAAAACAGACCCCCTAGCATTTCTGGCTGTGGTCATCTTGAGTAATGGAAGATAATTTATGTAGCATTTACTTCCTGGAATTCACCTGCCCTTTGTTAAGGCATGCAAGCAGGAGGATGTGCTTAGCTGAGAAAGCCTCTTTTTCCCTCTTTCCCTACTGAAGACTCCTGGGACATGTGACATCATTTGACTAGGCATGGAATCAAAGAAGCAACTAAAGAAATGTAAAAAAAAGTTTAAAACATGTTCTCCCTGCGCCTGCGTGGAATTCCTCTGGGTATTCTGGTTTCCTCCCACACTTCAAAGACATACTGATAGGTTAATTGGCTCCTGTCTAAATTGGCCCTAGTATGTGTATGTATGAATGTGAGTTAGGGACCTTAGATTGTACACCCCTTGAGGGTTAGGGACTGATGTGAATGTATAATATATATGTAAAGCGCTGCATAAATTGACAGCGCTATACAAGTACCTTTTAATAAATAAATAATACAACATGCAAATATGATAAACCATCCTATCCTTTTACTTATGCTAGCAGTAAAAGGAATAAAAAGAGTCAATGTTGATTGAGAGAGCGAAGTTTTTCTTCAAGTGTCGCCGGCACCAGGGTATCCATAGACAGAGACATACAGCATACAGTGAGGGACAGAAGTATTTGAACACCCTGCGATTTTGCAAGTTCTCCCACTTAGAAATCATCTAGGGGTCTGAAATTCACATTGTAGGTGCATTCCCAGAATTTAAGAAAAAAATTCAGGAAATCACATTGTATGATTTTTAAAAGAATTTAAACTGCTGAACATAAGTATTTGAACACCTAAGAAACAGCAAGAATTCTGGCTCTCAAAGACCTGTTACTGTGCCTTTAAAAAGTCCACCTCTACTCCACTCTTTAATCTAACATAGTAACACCTGTCTGAGCTCTTTAAAGACTGTCCACCCCACGGTCAGTCAGACGCCAACTACTACCATGGGCAAGACTAAGAGAGCTGTCAAAAGACACCAGAGACAAAATTGTGGACCTCCACAAGGCTGGAAAGGGCTACGGGGCAATTGCCAAGCAGCTTGGTGAAAATAGATCAACTGTTGGAGCAATTGTTAGAAAATGGAAGAGGCTAAAGACGACTGTCAGTCTCCCTCGGACTGGGGCTCCATGCAAGATCTCTCCTCATGGGGTATCACTGATGATAAGAAAGGTGAGGAATCAGCCCAGAACTACAAGGGAGGAGCTGGTCAATGATATGAAGAGAGCTGGGACCACAGTTTCAAAGGTCACTGTCGGTAGAACACTACGCCGTCATGGTTTCAAATCATGCATTGCATGGAAGGTTCCCCTGCTCAAGTCATCACATGTCCAGGCACGTCTGAAGTTGGCCAATGACCATCTAGATGATCCAGAGGAGGCATGGGAGAAAGTCATGTGGTCAGATGAGACCAAAGTAGAACTTTTTGGTCTAAACTTCACTCGTCGTGTTTGGAGGAAAAAGAAGGATGAGTTGCATCCTAAGAACACCATCCCTACTGTGAAGCATGGGGTTGGTAACATCATGCTTTGGGGGTGCTTTTCTGCGAAGGGGACAGGACGACTGCACTGTATTAAGGAGAGGATGAATGGGGCCATTTATTGTGAGATTTTGAGCAATAACCTCCTTCCCTCAGTCAGAGCATTGAAGATGGGTCGTGGCTGGGTCTTCCAACATGACAACTACCCGAACACACAGCCAGGATAACCAAGGAGTGGCTCCGTAAGAAGCATATCAAGGTTCTGGAGTGGCCTAGCCAGTCTCCAGACCTAAATCCAATAGAACATCTTTGGAGGGAGCTGAAACTCTGTGTTGCTCAGCCACAGCCCCGAAACCTGACAGATATAGAGGAGATCTGTGTGGAGGAGTGGGCCAAAATCCCTGTTGCAGTGTGTGCAAACCTGGTCAAGAACTACAGGAAACGTTTGACCTCTGTAACTGCAAACAAAGACTTCTGTACCAAATATTAACACTGATTTTCTCGGGTGTTCAAATACTTACAGTATGTTCAGCAATGCAAGACAAATAAATTCTTTAAAAATCATACAGTGTGATTTTCTGAATTTATTTTTTAAATTCTGTCTCCCAGAGTGGGAATGCACCTACAATGTGAATTTCAGACCCCTCCATGATTTCTAAGTGGGAGAACTTGCAAAATCGCAGGGTGTTCAAATACTTCTGTTCCTCACTGTGTAGACAGAAGATCAAAAATCAAAGAAATTTGTTATTTCAAGCCTAACCTTCATTTTGTTAACCCCTTGGCACCCTTTAAGGGGTTTGTGATTCAGGGAGGTGGGACAGGGTTTAGGGTCATGTGATTGTCATGATTGGCTGTCACGGTGGTATCATGATTGGAAAGCTCCTGATTGCAAGTAGCTACTGGGACCTTTCCACACAGTGCCAGTAAATGTGCCAGGAACGTGCAGAGCACGAGCTCTCAGCACGCTTGCTTACATTGGGTATGCAAATATGCGGCATCTCGGCAACAAGGCTCAGCCGCCAACCCATATGGAAGAAAAATATATTTGAAATATATTTTAAAAATATTCTTCCCAAATATATTGACATATATTTGAAATACAATATATACATATATTTGTATTTTAAAGACATGCAGTATATTTGAAAATGTATTTTTAAAACAATTTTTCATATATTTTGCAATAAAAGCACATTTCAACATAATATACATATATATATATATATTGAATATGGTGAAAATTTTTGTATTTCAAATATATGTCAATATTTTTGGGAAGAATATTTTTAAAATATATGTCAAATATATATTTCTTCCATGTGGGAAGAGGCCACATATTTGAGTACTGTTGGCGCCAAGGAGTTAAAGCTAGCCATACATCAGTAAGATTTTCCATTAAAGGAAAGGAACTCTCTGTTCAATATAAATAATTATAAAAATAATTCAATATACAAATCCATTCAATTCATAGGTCCTTGAACTACAAACTTATTGGTAAGTCGTATTGATCTAGCTGGTGTTTGGCCAACAAAATTGATATCTAGAGCCAAAACTTTTTATATTTGGATATGAAATAGTATAGTTAAGCTTTTGTCAGTTTTGTTGACTGCATTAATTAGATTTCCCTTCACTTACTTTAAGATATAAAGAGTGATAGAAGGTTTCTATAAAGTGAGGGGGAATCCCTTTTTAGATAGTTATGGGAAGCCAACCTCATTGCTCTGTTTGATTGGGCAACTATGTGGCAAATGAGGTTTAATGTTGATAAATGTAAGGTTCTGCACTTGGGGGCTAAGAATATGCATACATCATACATACTAGGGGGGGTACAACTGGGGGAATCAATGGTGAAGAAGGATCTGGGAGTTCTGGAAGATCACAAGCTTAATAATGGCATGCGATGCCAAGCTGTGGTTTCTAAAGCGAGCAAAATCCTCTCTTGTATTAAAAGAGGTATAGACTCCGGAGAGAGAGATATCATATTACCGCGGTACAAATCATTAGTAAGACCTCATCTGGAATATGCAGTTCAGTTTTGGGCACCAATTCACAAAAAGAACATTGGGGAACTGGAGAAAGTGAAGAGAAGGGCAACTAAACTGATAAGAGGCATGGAGGAGATCAGCTATGAGGAAAAATTAGAGGAACTGAATTTATTCTCTCTTGAGAAGAGGAGATTAAGGGGGGATATGATCAACATGTATAAATACATCA